AAAGAAGAAATAAAACTATCTTTGTTCACAGATGACAAGAGTGTCTATGTAGGAAAACCAAAGAATTAACAAAACAAAAAATAAAAAAACACCTGGAATGCATAAGCGATTATTACAGGGTTATTAATGTACAAAAGTACATGGCTTTCCTATATACTAGCAATGAACAATGGAAATTTTTTTTAACATTTTTATTGGAGTATAATTGCTTTACAATGGTGTGTTAGTTTCTGCTTTCTAACAAAGTGAATCAGTTATACATATACATATGTTCCCATATGTCTTCCCTCTTGTGTCTCCCTCCCTCCCACCCTCCCTATCCCACCCCTCTAGCTGGTCACAAAACACCGAGCTGATCTCCCTGTGCTATGCGGCTGCTTCCCACTAGCTATCTATTTTACATTGAACAATGGAAATTTGATATTCAAAGCACAGTACCATTTACAATAGCACCCTAGAAAAATTAAATACTTAGGTATAAATCTAAAAGAAAAAAATATGTACAGGATCCACATAAGGAAAACTACAAAACTTTGATGAATGAAATCAAAGATCTAAATAAGGGGAGAGATATTCCATGTTCACTGATAGGAACTCAATATTGTTAAGATGTCATTTCTTCCCAACTTGACCTATAGATTCAATGCAATCCCAGTCAAAATCCCAGCAAGTTATTTTGTTGATATTGACAAACTGATTCTAAAGATTATAGGAAAAGGCAAAAATCCAGAATAGCCAACATCATACTGAAAGGAATGACAAAGTTGGAGGACTGATACTATGTGACGACTTATAAAGCTACAGTAATTAAGACAGCCTGGTTTTGGCAAAAGACAAGATAAATAGATCAATGGAACAGAATAGAGAGTCCAGAAATAGATCCATACAAATATAGTCAACAGATCTTCGATAAATGAGCAAAGGCAATACAATGGAGAAAGATAGTCTTCTCAACAAACTTCCTGGAACAAGTGGACATCTATAGGCAAAAAAATGACTCTAGACACAGATCTTATACTTTTCACAAGAATTAACTAAAAATTTATCATAGACCAAAACTATAAATCTAGAAGATAACATAAGAGAAAATCTAGGTGAGCTTGGATTTGGTGATGATTTTTTAGCTACAACAACATAAGCACAGCCCCTGAAAGAAAAAAATTGATTAGTTGGACTTTATTAAAATTTTTAAATTCTGCTCTGCTAAATATACTGTAAAGATAATGAAAAGACAAGCCATAGATTAGGAGAAAATATTTCCAAAATATATATTCAGTATAGGATTGTGTCCAAAATAAACAAGGAACTCTTAAAACTCAGTGATAAGAAAACAAATAACCCCAGGAAGGAATGCAGACTGTGACAGGAGAATGTACCTGCCTTATTTACAGTGTGTGAAGCCCCCTCACGGAGGGGCCAGATGAAAGGTGCTGACCTGAGTCACTCTGGAAACGAGTGGGGTCTGGAGGCCTGAAGGCAAGGGACGTGCACACAGCACTGGGCTCTAGTGGTGAAGTTGTCTCCCGTGGGGCCTCTGGGTCAACAGCCGTGTCCCTGCTGTACACGTGCGCTGGGACTGGACAGGAAAGCGCACGGATGCTGGGGGCCGGGAGTCTCACCCCGGAGGAGTGGGAGGTTACAGGCGACCAAGGGGAGAATGATCCGTGGATAACAGATGCTGGTTGGAGACGTCAGTGAGAACTCAACGTTCGTTTAATGTAGAGACAGGTG